ATGACGCGCAGTGAAGATGATAGAAGATTAGGCTATTAGCTTACTTCTCATTGAAAATATTTTTTAATTATTTTTTTTTAACAGGTCTATTAAGTTATACAATTAATTATAGGTCTTCAAGAGCAGCTTTATTTCATGCACCGATTTTCAAAAACAACCTGTTTAACACAAATACGTTTCTTCTCGTGTTTTTTACTATACAGGTCACAAGAGAAATATTAAGGGAATAATTTCAGAGTTATGTACTGTTATCAACATTTATTTAAGTAGATTATGCTCTCACTGTCACTGAGAGAATATGTGATGTTAATGCAGCATTAGAAATCTCCATCAGGATTTTTTTTTTGACTTTTTAAAATATTTATCGGCCCCGGAAAGGTGGGCCTTGGACATGAACTTATTGGCTTATTAGTCATTCATTTTTACTTTTGCTTCATATTTTGAAATGATAAAATCACAAATATAAAATATCAAATCATCAAGAAATCTAATTTGATTAATAAGATTAATCACACAGCCCTAAAGTGCAAGAGATATCTCACTTTTCTCGCAAATAATGAAAACACAATATAGACAAATGCCTTGATATTATCGCATATACAAACAGTTGGAAAGATACAATTAGCTTGATCACAAATATAAAATATCAAATCATCAAGATATCTAATTTGGTCAATGTTTTGTCAGTTATTTAACAAAAGTCACCAAATGCCTTTTCTTTAATTTGCAACTGAATCCCACATCATTAGAGCATTTCTTAATCTCTGAAGTTGCTGGTCAGTTCTGTATAATACTGTAGAAGAATACAATGATATAAAAGATACAAAAAAGAAAAAGATACAATTAGCTTGATAACTTTTATCTAGCAATAATAAACTGTAAGTGGTTTTTCATAATTTCTCCAGTACTGAAAGCAGAACCGATCAACCAGATCAGAGCTTATCAATACTGTAACGAATCAGCTCATGGGAAATATGAATAATTAACCATAACTAGTTATAATTAATTATGAATATTTTAGATCCGCTGTAGATATTTAGCTGACCTCTCAGGGTCAACTGTCTTGTCAATTCTAAGAACGTTAATTTCCTGGTTAAGGGAAATAACTTTCTTACTGTACAATTCTACAAAAGCTTG